TTATTAAAATAATTTAAATAGTAAGTTTTATTATTATAAATTAGTATTTTTAAACTACCTGCTAAGTACTTGCCAAGTACTTATTATTTTAATTACTAAAATTGTTATAATTATAATTATAATAATTATTATTATTATTAACTGCTTGCCAACTGCTTGCCAAGCAGTCTTTATTTTAAATATTATTAAATTATTTAAACTTAACTATTTAAATATTAAAATTATTAATATTATTATTAACTGCTTGCCAACTGCTTGCCAAGCAGTTTTTTAAATATTATTTAAATTATTTAATTTTATTTAAATATTAAAATTTTAATTAATATTATTAACTGCTTGTGTGGCAATGTTTGGAGCCACATCCCAACACACGGGCGTTCTGCCGTGCGTCACCGCCTTCATACCTACTTCGCCCGCTCTGCGGGACTTAGTGAAATTAAGACTCTTTAGATACATATAGCGCTTATATTTGCTATTATAAATAGTAGCATGTCCGCAAGGACAGGGTCTTGATTCTCTTTCTTATATTAAACTTGGGTAACTAGTTTACCTTACTAAACACTATTAAGATATATCTTTAGCTTTTATTATTGTTAAGTAAATTAACTCCAACACTTATTTTTAAATTTTTTACTATTTACTCTTGCTAAATATTATAACCTTATAACTCCTAATTTATAAACACGGAACTATAAATACTATTTTTTGCTTTACTATTCTTTGCTATTAGCCTTTTATTATTTTTTATAAATTTTTTTTTTTTACTGTATTACAATCTTTTTTCTCCCTATGCGCCTAACTAGCAGCTTTTTTTATAAAGTAACTGTGTTATATTATAACTCGCGCCTGCTAAGGGTAACACGCGATTATATGGACTATATTATAGTATTAAATCACGTGGTTTATTTTATAGCCACGGAGGTGGTAAAGCAGGGTGGTAAAATAAGGTAGTTTAAAGAATAAAACCTAAGACCTTTAAACCACCCATAATATTAAAGCTAGAGAACAAAGACAAGAGCACTATTATATATATAACTAAATTAATTAAGTTTACTACCTAGCTAAGAAAATTTATTAAGATGGGTCACGGGCGAGCTAAAAATATAATAGTAGAAATATAAAAAAGAATTGATTTTTTAGTAGGTTTTACGGCCTTACTAAAATAAGTTATAAAAAATAGTACTTGAAAATAGCAAGCCCCGCCTTTACTTTTTTTATTAAATTAGGTAATTAGAAACGCTAGAACATTTAATATAGTAGTAAAATTCTTTATAAAAAAATTTAAATAAATCCTGCATAATTCCTGTTTTACCTGGCAAGCAGCTAACTTACTATTTGCTTTACTAATAAAAAATACTAAAACTATTTTAGCTGCTTTAAAAATAATAATAATACTAGTAATTATTAAACAGGCCGCTGCTAAACCAAATATATTATTAATTTTTAAATTATTATACGCGTCCTTACTACCTTTACTAGCTTTACCTAGTTTAAGATAGTATTGCACTTTACTAAAAGGCCCTACACCTTTACTAATATAAAGTTATTTTTTATTTACCCCTTTGCCCTTTTTAAGTACAAGCTTACTAGCGGAATAACAAGTAAGACTAAAGGAGTTAAATAAAGCTTATCTAGAATAGGACTGCAACTCTAACCAACCCCTTAACCTACCACATAAACAAGAGGAACCGGGATTTCCGGAACCACAAGCTAAATAACAGACTGGAAGTCCGCTTTTTAAAACACTAAATAATATTTTTTGTTATTCTTAACTAATTAGCCTACTTATAAGGTTTTAATTAAACTTTGTGCTGCTAGTGCGGTTTTGCTACCCCTTATTTTAATTTAGGCCTTATTTACTATTTAAGTCTTATTTACCCTTTTATTAACCTGCAGGTCCTTCCACAAGAATAAACCCACCACTAAGATCTTACTTAAAAAAATATGTTGCGAAGAAAAGGAAAGCAAGAATAGATAAAAATAGAAGAGCAGTAAAACCAGGCAAATAGCCTAGAAATAGAAATAATTAATAGCTAGCTACTAGAGATACAGCGTTTATGGACGTGCAAACTCTTGCTTTATAAAGGTTAATTAGTAATATAATTAATTATATGTTAAAGGCGGTTTTGCCCTGTCCTGCTAAAGGATAGGAAACTAAATAATAATATAAATAAAAACTAAAAAATAAGAGAGCTTATTGCAAAGAGCAAGCCAGGCTGGATTATTTATAATAAAAAGAATAAAAGGCCCAAGAGTAACACGCCTAAAAAAAATGCTAAGAAAAACCAAAAGGCAACCTAGATAATAATAGTGACTTATTACTGGATAATAATAATTAGCATAATAATAATAATAGTAACAGGCGTGATAGGAATCCTAATAAATATAAGGGTAAATAATATTACTTAAAAAATAAAGATAGGTAACCCTAGGATCCTAAATAAAGGGCTATTAATATAGGATTTTTTTTTTTAAATATGCTAGTTAAATACGGCTTTAAGGACGTGGTAAATAAAAATAGGTTTATATATTATTAATTAGTGTATTTATTTATAAAATAACTTTAAGTAATAATAAAAACAAGGTTTATATAGTAGCTAGCACGTAATATTAAAACATGTTTTAAAAAAAAAGCTTTAACTTAATATAATAGTAAATTAACTAATATTACACGCCGCGGTTTAATTTATTTAAGGGATATATTAAACTAGTGTATAGCTTTAAAAACTAGGTTTAAAATATTATTTAGCTAAGCTTGCAAGAGGCTTAATATAATATACTATACCTTAAATAATATTTATAACCGCGTGTTAGTAATATAGTATATTAATATAATATTATTACTTTTAAAGTAATATAAAAAGGGTATTATAAACTTCCTAATAATCTTACATGCTTAAAAAAGTCTAGATACTTTGCTATAAGTAATAATAAATAAGTTATAAAAAGGGTTTATAATAGAGTGATTTATGGAAATCCTAAAATAAAAGTAAATAAATTAGTTTAACTAATTTCTAAAATATTTAACTACCAGTGTTCCTTTTAAAGTAATAGTATTAATATAATATAAAATAATATTACTACCCTAGGATTTTAACCTAATTTATAGCCCTTTTAAATAGTTTAAATAATATTTTATAAAGTATTAGTATAACCAGCCACCCCAAGGGTATTTACTATTTTACTTATAGTATAACTAGCCCTGGGCGCCCTAAATAGCCTAATCCTTTTTATTTTTAAACACCCAGGTGTAGTAGTTTAATAATTAATAGCAGGCCTTGTAAAACATGCAAGGATATAGTAACTTATAAAGAGTTTTATAGTAATAGTAATTAAGACAGGGAGGATAAGAATAGCGTGTTTATACCAAGCCATAGCCCCTTATAAATATAAATATATAGTTATAAGGAGGATAAGGTTACATGGCTAATTAAAACTAGGGCGGCTGTTAACTACCACCACAAAAATATAACTAATAATATTAAAAAGTATATTATAATAAAAAAGGTGTAGTACTAAATAAGTTTTTAAAGAAATACCATAAGTATATGCAGGATAAGGTGTACGCTAATACTAAATTCCTATTATATAAAGTATATTATGGCACGCCATAAGATAGTGACGTGGTTTATAAAAAAATATTTTTTAAATAGGTGTATTATGGCTACATAGTGTAGGATAGTTAGGTATATTATAATAGCGC